TCTTTCCACATAACTAAGCATGACAGACCCTTTGGTTGTGTAGAAATGCACAGCTTCAATACTTTCACGTGACTGTATTCAGAAAATTGTGGAGACCATCCCTTCAGGAAAGCATGCCACTGCACGTTTTCCCATTTAATGCTGTCTTTCTCCCATTGCTTACAAACAGAAAAATAAGCATCGTTAAAACTAAGTCAGTAGTTGGGATAATTCAGCCTGTGTGTTATATCACCAGGATTTGAAAAGCTGAGTGGTTTGCAAGCAGTAAAACCATGTGTTACTGAACTTAGGAAAGTAGTTATGTGTTTTTGCTTTCAGAACTTTAGTATCAGGCATGTCCTCTTCAGGTATTACTGACCTAACTTATGGAGCCTGCTTGTAAAACATGCACAAGGGTCACAATATCAGGAATGAAGTCTTTGTTGTTGACTGTGAAGCAGAATAATAGGAGTCGAACACATGCCATGCAGGAAGGGTGCTCAGCTATACAGTCACTTTCCTGACTTCAGCATCATTTCAGAAATGGGCGTTGGTATATTGCAAGTAGCATAGTGATTTATAATACTTCTAATTCTCAGCTCTCCTCCCAATATATTTTTTGATTCATTCTCCTTAATATCTTGTTACCAATAGGTTAATGATCCTGCTATGAGGGGAGGCAATCTTTTTCCAAACCAGCTGCCTGGAATGGATATGATAAAGCAGGACGGAGATGCAGCACGGGTAAGAAATAGCGTAGAGGGGCAACAGAATTCTGAATATGCTGCGGGCTAGAATAGATACAGTATCTACAAAGTGACAAGTTCCCGGAGCGCTGGCCATTAACCTGATTGAGCCGCGCTCGCCGGGGCGGGAGGGGCAGGGGCGGCAGGAGGAGCCTGTGGGTGCGAGCGGCGCGGGGGAGGCGCCATCTAGCGGCAGCTCCTCTGCGCCCCTCCGGTCAACAGAACGGTAACGTTTTCTGCTGTTAAAGAAATTTGAATAGGGGGAATGAGGAAAATTCGTCTGAAAAGTTATCAAGATTACTGAAAATGAAGAACATGAAAGTACTGAGGATAAAATTAGCCATGCCTGTGTTTTATTGCATCCCTGTCTTTTTTTTGTACACCAAGAGTGGGAGATCTGCATAATCTCTACTGCAGCCATTTTGTGGTCACTTTGATGATTAATAAAAAGATGCAGTCTGTTCTGCTCTAGTAGAAGCTGTCATATACCAAGGCATTATTGCAGAATCCTAGAATGGTTTGGGTTGGAAGGGACCGTAAAGATCATCTTGTTCCAACCCCACTGCCGTGAACAGGAACATCTTCCACCAGTCCAAGTTACTCAAAGTCCCATGAAACGCTGAACACTTCCCTTAACTTCACTGGGCAACTGGTTCCAGTGTCTCACCACCCTAGTATCAAATCTATCCAAATATCTATCTAATCCTATCCTAATATCTAACGTAAACCTACTCTCTTTTAGTTCGAAGCTATCCCCCTTTGTCCTGTCACTGCGTGGCCTTGTCGAAGTCCTTCTCCAGCTCTCTTGTAGGGCCCCCTTTGGGTACTGGAAGGCTGCTCTAAGGTCTACGTAGTGCATTCCTTAACCAGTTACATTTCATGTGCCAGAGGAGAAAATGCCAGGTACCACTGAGGAAAGAAAGGGCATAAGGCTGTTGAGGAGGAAGCAGACTAAAGGAGGAGGTAGATTTTAAAGAATGATGGAAGAGAGAGGGAAGAGAGAGTGGATGTGACAGAAAGGGTACAAGAGAGGGTGCAGAGAAGTCAGGGTGCAGGTGGAGAGAAATGAGTGGCATGACTTTGAATGGGGAGTCTCGGGTTTAAAATTAAAATAATGGAGTCAAAGGCATGACAATGAGATGGACAGTGGCCATGCATGAGAGCAGTTTTGTCTCAACTGAAATAAAGTAACTTCTTAAAACCTCTTGCATTATTTTGTAAGGGTACGTTGGGGTGCACTCTGTGATTTTACTTTTATTCTATTAATGTAGTTCTGTCAGTGAAAATGTAGATGGTTTATATGCACCATAAATACCTATTACTGAACTTTGAACTGTAATAGAGGTTAAATAGCTACAATTTTTGTGCTCCTGAGATCTGAGGAGAGGAATGATGTGCTTCATCCCTTGGCAGTTGTGGCTTTAGTGTATGAATGCTGAGAAATTCATCCAACAAATGTTTTTCTGAAGGTACACTTGTGCCTTCTTTGCCTTATTCCCTCCTTCATGTACTTTGTCATCCTGTGACTCAAGTCTTTGTTAAATTACTTAAAAAAAATTGCAGTGCATAATTATTTTTTTAAAGTCATTGCTTTAGTGGAAGCATTTATTTAGCATGTCTGTAAAGATACTGTTTGTTAAATGTCCACCCTGAAAATAAGGACATCTTTGGATTATCACTTCCGTTTCACACTTCATCTTCAAAAGCCACTAACAGGGTCCCTGAACTGCCTCTCAGTATACTAGGAAGAAGAGTCAAAGTTTAGTTTGTCCATATTAGTCAGGGCATTAGGGATGGGAGGGCGATGTCTCTGTGATGTGGTGAAGGAAGGAGGAACAGGACTCACTCTGTTGCCTGTGGCTGGTCTCCCCCAAAGAGCTCCAGCTGGGTCAGCTGGGCTGGGAATAGCAGATGTACAAAACACAGGACCTTGCTTTCCTGAATCACGGGATAGTTCCTGACACTGACGTTTTTTGTCAATAAAGATACATTTCTAGGCCTTGTGTGAATGCAGAGGAAAGTGTGGTGAAGTCCAAAGCACAGTAAAGTCAAAAGGCAGCTTCCAGAAGGCAGCCTAGCCGCATGCACACGTGCTGGTGAGAAAGCTGCCTACTGCCAGCACTGTCCCTGAGCTGACAGGGCCTTCCTCCTGCATGGCAGGAAGCTGCGAGCAAAGAGTGCTCCACTGCCAGAGCCACGGGATGTGAGTGAAAAGCAACCCCAGGGGAGAAGGAAAATGGGTTTTGGCTGGAGTGACTCTCTGACCTGACTGACCACAGCACCCCATGGGAGGAGGCATGTGCAAGGGGAGGACAGACAGATTGCAGCCACTGGAAGGGACAGTCTTAAAACGACTGTGAAAACCACATCCTAAGGTTTTTTTAATAAGAAAGTACCAGATAATCAACTCAGCTGAAACCAGTTTGTGCTGTATGCTCTTAAAGACATTGCAAGTCTATTAGGTATGATGTAAAGGACATTTCTAGGGACCAGTAGCTGAAGGTTTCTTACTTCTTTATTCCCTTTTTCTACTATGAATCTTGGAGGGGAAAGGCAGTTATTTCCTTTGAGGGTGATGCAGCAGAAGTGCAGAGATATTTTGCACATATCCAAGAATGAGATTTCTCTTAAACCATATTGCTGTGGCTTTGTCTGGAGTTTACAAGAGGTAGATGGTCCTGAGTCATTATAATATCCATGAGAATAGGAATTAATTAAGGACCTGAGAATGCAGATAAATGAAACCCCCACTGATATCATTGGAATTAAATTGCAGATCAGTTGTATCAGTGTACATGAAAAATAGTTTAACTGTATAAATTGCAATTAAATTTCAGGTTTAAGGTATTACACCAATGTATGGTTGACAGTGGATTATGCACTCCAGCATCCCATATTTCATGACCTATCCATTTTCACCATCCCACCAGGAAGAATTCATTTGTTTTACCTTCATTTGTCTTTTTTTCAGAAATACTGCTGACCCTGAAGGTGGTTCGGTTGCTCCTTTCTTCAGCTGACTGGGCTTACGGCCCCAAATCCTTACCAGTTTGAAGAGCTGCATCTATTTGTCGTGACCCAGCTGAGCTGCCAGTGCCAGCAGCAGCTGCCTGCTGCCGCCAGGACTCAGCCCTGCCCTCCCGAGGGGAGCCGGGTGGTCGTTGCCGAGGAGCAGCCTCTTCTTTGACAGTCTGAAGCTAGCGTACAGACAGTTGCTCAGTCTGTTCACTGCATTCACCTTAGTGCAACTTAGATCTCTCCTGCAAAGTAATTGTTGACAGGCAATTTTCATAAACCATGTCAGATTGAATGTATTTAAATGTATGTATTTAAGGAAAAACAACCATGCTCTTGTTCTGTTTCTGTTTAGTTCTAGACCTTGGGGGTTTTTTTTGCTTTGTTTTCCCTGGCTTACTCAGTCTGGTGCAAAGGATTCAGTTCTGTCTGAAAACTGGTGTTTTAGACTAAGGCCTGCATTTTGGGGCAGAGAGGAGGCATGGAGGAGGGCATAGAAGCAGCATCTGGTACATATAGAGACCTCCGACAAGCGCGTTCCACTGACAGCAAGTCAGAGAAGATCAGCTGGTGCAGAAAACTATACAGACCAATTTTGAATGCGGTTAAAGTTGTAAAACAGATGAAATTTACCCTGTGAGAGGGCTGTTTATAAGGGGCGTTTTGGTTGGGTTTTGTGGTAGTGTTTATAATGCAAGTCATGAATCCAAACATACAAGTTGGTTACATTCTCATTTAATTCAATTCCTAACAATCAGTGAATCCTGATTTTTTTAACCTGGCTTTCCTGACCTCTGTCATCTTCCTCTTCTTTCTAATAGAATAAAATAACAGGTTACTCCGTTATTTCCCTAGGTGTGTTTCCAGCAATCTGGACAGCCAGTTACTGGATGCTGAACAACAAAGTTCAATGGTAATGCATGTACTGGTTATGGTAGTGGCAGAATTGGTGCATAATATCAAAGAGCTCAAGATACCTGCTTTAAAGCATGATAGTTTCTGGTTCCCATCCCCTTAGCTGGGAAAATAACAATTCCTGTAATACCTGTAGCAGATATCACTACAGACTTCACCACTATCGTGTGTTTCTGATTATTTTAAAGCAGTGTGGACTATGAGGATGTTTTGTAAGGTACATAAAATCCAGTTTGTATGTAAACAAGCAATAATTTAAGTTGAAAACTTAAGTGTTTTACTTGTATAATTTTTGTGAGATATACATGTTGTGAAGTTGATTCCAAATGAGGTACTTCAGTATTAAATTAGATATCTTCTTAGCCGTGTGTGTCTCCTGGAAAAGTGTTTTGTAAAGGATCACAATGCCTTGATTAGACCTAATTTGTAGGCTTGAGACTTCTCATTTTCTAAACCTTGTGATTCTGCTCATAATATCATTTAACTAACCTATATTATATGCAGCCACTGTAGGAACCAATTCTTGATTTTTGTATGTTTATATCCTTTCGTAACAAATCTTAGAAAAACTAACTGTTACTCAGCAGGCCACTGTTAAGGCATGTTGGTTTTTTTTCTTGCCCACTGTGGTTGGAATAATCTTTTACTATACTGACATCAGTTTCTGAGGACTCGAAATACTAAGAAATTGATGGGTTTGACCTGTTTTCTTTCTGCTAATCCACAAACTTTCTAACCTGGACGCAGATTTTTTGCTGTAATGTAAAATACAATGTGTTTTGTAATATCAGCCCTGCCTTGTGGGAGTGAAAGGTTTGTTCTGTTGCCTTTTAATTTGTTTTGATATTCAGGTGGAAGTTGAAATAAAATTGCAGCTATTCTGTGTTAAGGCTGAGGAAAATATGATAAAGATGGTTCAAAATAGGCTGTTTCTGTGTTTGTCCTTAAGGAGGGCAGTGCCACTGTTTTGGAGAAACAACACTTTTAGAAGTCGCCGTTCTCTTACCAAACTACAGAATATTTAGTCAGCTGAGCCATCCTCTAACCTGCTGGTGGGAAATCAAAATAACCATCATCCCTGAGCTCCGCAGCCTCATTGCTACAATATTGGTGTTAAACTTGCATTATATATCTGACAAAAAATATTTATAAAAGGAACTTATGAATTTGAAGGAATTAACTTCATGCACCATGAAGCGCAAATGAGTTTTAAAATCATTTTGTTTCTATTCCATTATGTTTTGGTTCTTAACCATAACCTCTGCAGACAGATTATTCTTTTTCACAGTGGACAAAATAGTTTAAATTTCTACCATTTCATGACAGACCTGCAAACCTTTATCTCTAGTGATTATGATACTTCATCATCCATTGCCATTTTGAAAGAAAGGAGATTGTACCTATCACTTTGGCTCCGTTTGGGTTCATTGTGACTTTTGTCGTCTTCTAAGTAATGAAAGAGAAAAGTGAGTGAAGGAATCTTCTGATCATATTGATCACTATAGAAACAAAAAAAGCCAAATCAATTCCCTTCATTATCAGTATTTTTCATCCTGTACACAGTAAATTTGTCGGAGAAAGTACTTGGATTTTGTTTAACAGAACAATTAATCAGTGTTCTACTTACATTACTAAATGTGAAAGGCGCATAATGTGAAAAATAAGCATATATACATGGTCGTATGACCTGTTTAAGTGTTCATGTAATGTGGTAAGTTTAAAAAGTGAAGTGAGCTGTTTTGCTACAATGAATTAATTTGTACTCGATCTTTAAAATATTGTCCCACACCGGTATCCCTTTGGGCCTGTATTAATTAAAAGCAATGTTTTTGCAGTTTATACAATACATTTTTTAATCTTTGTTTAAAAGCGGAATTCATATGGGCTTAACAGATGAAATGGGTGGCACAGCTCCACTTGCAGAACCCAAAGATACACAATCAGTTTTGAAATGCAACTTAAGCCATTAATTGTTGGTGTGAATTTAAAAGTTTTCTAGTATTTGTATGGTAGTATGCTGCCTAAGAGCAAAAGCATTCTCTGCACAAAAGAAAATTTACTGTAGTGGCTTTGATTTTAATTAGAATTTTCTCCCTGGTGTTTCTTTGTAGACTAAAACAAAATCTTTTAAGTTTCTTACTACAGGTAAAAGCTATGTGCAAGAACCTCAAAATGCTAAAATCTAGCATAATGCCTTAGATCTGTTTTTAAGTCTTGTATATTCCTACATAGCTGTCTGATGTATTATATTTGTATAGTGAATTGTGTACAATTTTGGAATAAGTGCATCATCACTTAATCTTTATGTTGTTCAATAGAGATGATGGACACATTTCTTCAAACATTTACTGTCATTTAATTTTTTTCCCTTTATGTCATTTGTGGGTTTTATTTGTACAGTTCATCATGAAGTTGCATCTGAGATGTGTGTATATGAAAAGATTATACAAGGGTAAAATTAAGCAATATATAAACTATGGTTCTTCAGGAGAAAGCTTACAGTGTTTCAGGTTGTGATTTATTTTCAAAACGGAGTTGACTCTGAACATCACTTTGTTCACCTGCATTGATGTTTGTATTTCTAGTGTGAGCAGTTTATGCAAAGGTAGATATATTCAGAGAAATTTTAAATACATTTATGCAAGTTAATATTGCTTTGCTGATGCTATTTGCTTATTTGATGTTAAATAATGCTATTGTAAATAAAGAATTCTGTTGTTATTGCATCATTTAATAAATTTTAATGCCTTCGGGTTTTACATGGCTTTAGAGATTTCAACGTGTTTCTGTTGTGTCTTCATTTGTTCAAAGAAGGGTGTAAGAGCACTGGAGGGTAGGTGAATTGGCAGGTTTTAAAAAGGCAGCAGGCTTTGTTGAAGGCTTATTTATATTACAGTTAGTTGTTAATCACAAATCCTCTCATCTTTATAGTGCTATATTAACTGAAAGGGTGTATCTCATGGCTTAATGTGAGAACTGTTCATTTATGTCTTAGGATGAAATGAGTGTCTTTCACAGCAGTGTCAGCAGAGACAGACCTCAAGTGATGTGAAGTGGGGCTGAGTAGAGTTATGGGCTGGTTCTCCTTGATATGCCAAATGGTGAATTTAAGACAGTTGAAAAGGCTTGATTGGTCAATTAAATATAAATTAATAAATAAATTTTTAAAAGGAGCTACAAGAATGCTTGTTTGTGAGAATGATCTGCTGACCCTAGGAAATGGATGATGCAGAAAAGCAATTTATATTAAAAAATTTAGAAACCGAAGTTATTTTTAAAGACCTTCAAGTGCTGGTAACCTTTCACCATCCCTACCAAAACTAGGCTTATCCTGCAGTTTTCTTGGCTTCAGCAAGTGGTGATGGTACTTGGATATGAGGAAAATAATGCCACAACAAAGAAAGCAAGGAAGGAGGCTGTTTCTTCCTAATGTGAGGTCAGAAGCAAATGGAGAGAACTTATGTCTTGTGAGAGGCAAAATGTTTCCAGTCAGAAAGTTGCCTTTAGACATGATTGTAATTTATGAATACTAAAAACAAGATACAAGTTTTGGCTAAGACTCCTGGCATGAGTCTAAATATGATGAGCTAATGATAACCTCTGATGTAACTGACTTTATGAAAGACAAGTGCTGCCTCTTACTTTCTATAAAGACAAGTTCTTCTAACCTGATGTTCTGACAAGAGAGAAAAAAAGTGACTCTGTCTTTTTAAGGTCCTTCTCATGGTAAACCATACATTGAGTCTTGCAGACCAGACTTTTCACAGGGCTGGAACAGGGATGCCCAGAGGTTTTGAATTACTCCTCAGCTTGTTTCTCACTGCTTATGGTTCTTGATGTGTTGCGCCTAGTATGGAAGGAGGGCTGTGTGTCACACTGTGCTTGGGTGCAAGCTATGGCAAGGGAAGAGAGCAACTGATGGTATCTGCCCTCTGCCTTGGTTCTTGGACCATGAAGTGTGGAAGTAGAGGTGCCGAGTACAGCCTGGGTAGGCTTTTTGGCCAAACTCACACCCAGCCATCTGAAACAGTAATCACCGTGAAACCTTCATGATAAATTAGTTCTTGTACTGAAGAAAGCAGAACACAGGGCAGCCTTGAGTGGTTCTGTGGCCTTGAGCCTGTGATGGGTATATACAACTTATGTCCTCATACCTTTTAGAAATCCGTGATGAATCTTCAGCTAAGGGCTGTCTGTAGGCTCCTGCAGTGTGCAGAGTCTCATATTTAAATACAGGTCAGTCCAGAGTCCCACAAAGAGTTCTTAATCTTTAGCCAGCTAAAAGAGGGGAGAACAATCACAAATTGATGAAGTCCTTAGGAGAGGTAAGTCAAGAAAGGTCCAAGTTAGACTTATGGTATGGATGAACCTGTATGAACAGTGATCCTTCAGAGCTGGGCATTTTGCTCT